TTGGGGGATATCGGCCCCGGTCGGAAACGTTGGCGGTTTCTTATGCGGCGGGAGAGAGAGAGAGAGAGAGAGAGAAATCGTAATCGAGATGTCGAGAGCTCGCTTTTTATCGATGAATTTTTTTTTCTTTTTTTCGCAAAGGTGTCTTGTCGATCCCAATTTCGCCATTTCGGTTTTTTAAATTTTTTTACGAGTAATAAAATCTTGAAAATCATCTTAATAATTTTGACTTGATAATTTTTAACTCCTCGATACGGTTGATGTGATCTGCAAGAGGGCAGCACGTGATCTCGCGTAATTTCGAGGACATCTTTGCGAGAAAAAGAAAAATAAAATGTTTTTAAATTCTGTTTGTAACTAAATAAAAATCGAAGCGTCAGGAAGCTTCCATCTGTAATTGGAGCATTTTTAATGTATATTTTGTGTTCCATATTCACCGTCATCTTCTCGACGCCATTTTGATGACGCCATCAACTGCCATCTGGGGCCCGGAAATCGAAATACAGGGTGTAAGTAGCATTCAAATTTTCTATATTCGAAATTATATCCTCGATCATGCGAATATACAGGGTGGAGAAACTAGATACGTGAACAATGATTTTTTAACGAAGAAATCTCTCTTTATTCGACTTTCGTGCAAATTATGATTTAATCCCTACGATCGATCTGCTCGAAATTGATATTTCCTTGATCGAAACTTGATATGAAAAGAGACGATATGAAAATTGGTCTTCCAATTATTGAGAGAAAGAATTTATCCTCTTCCTTGTATGGACGGATAAGTATAACAAAAAAAGAAAAAAAAAAAGAATAGAATAATTGGAAAGGAAATGAGAAAATTAGCGATGCAATTTCTATGAAAGTATTAGCTGTGTGAAGAAGACTCGCCTTATACGGACAGATTAATACTACTAATCGCGAGTGATTGCGTGCTCCACCCTGTATTCACTGCCTATCGAGCGGGAGAACACCGAGCAAATAAAATCTCGGCGAAAAAAAAAAGAGCATTTACCAGCACGAATCGATGATTTTCGTTGGGAAACAGTCAAATATGCCCGCGGTTACGATCGCGTGAACACAAACAGTTATTGAATTCTACGTAACGAGCTGGCTAGATTTCTGTGTAGCCATCTTTATTCCAAAGAAATATTCCATTCGTTCAACGTCCTTTGGCCATACTCTCAGGATAAAACCAATCTTTCAATCTCTTGGCTCATAATAAATAATGAAGCTTAAAAAATATTTCAAAATTTTACTCTCAGGATAAAACCAATCTTCCAATCTCTTGGCTCATGATAAATCTAAATAGTAAAGCTAAAAAATATTTTAAAATTTTAAGAGTGGTTCTATACTCACTTTCAATTTTATTTAACAGACTTGTTAGATTAAAATTTAGATTATTAGAATTACTCTTAAAGTATTTTCTACATTTAGTGAAAAGAGTGTTCACGTTTTATCTAACAAACTTATTAAAAATTTAGATTATTAGAAGTACTCTTAAAATAGAGTGTTCACATTTTCATTTTATCTAAATTGCTAGATTAAAAATTTATGTTATTAGAACCATTCTTAAAGTAGTAACATCTAGTGAATGTAGAAAATAGACTCACTTTCAATTTTATCTAACAAACTTGTTAGATTAAAAATTTATTAAAGATTATTAAAACTATTCTTAAAGTAGTAACATCTAGTGAATATAGAAAATAGAGTATTTACATTTTCATTTTATCTAACAGATTTGTTAGATTAAAAATTTAGATTATTAGAACTACTCTTAAAGTAGAGTGTTCATTTTCATTTTATCTAAATTACTAGATTAAAAATTTATGTTATTAGAACCACTTTTAAAATAGTAACATCTAGTGAATGTAAAAAATAGAGTTACTCACTTTCAATTTTATCTAACAGACTTGTTAGACTAAAAATTTAGATTATTAAAACCATTCTTAAAAGTAATCTAGTAAATATAAAAAATGTTGTTAGATTAAAAATTCAAGTTCACTAAATGTTTACTTTAAGATTAGTTCTAATAACATAAATTTTTAATCTAACAAGTCTGTTAGATAAAAGTGAGTAACACTCTATTTTCTACAATCATTAAATGTTTTTTAAGAATGGTTCCAATAACATAAATTTTTAATCTAACAAGTCTGTTAGATAAAATGAAAATGTGAACACTCTATTTTAAAAGTACTTTTAATAATAAATAGAAACGTGAATAACACTCTATTTTCTGTATTCACTAGATGTTACTATACTCTGTCAATAGTAGCTCGGGTTCGTGGGTACGCTACCACCCAAAGGACTCGCGAAAGCAAGTCTGAGAGCGGCACTAATCCGACGCCAGCTCCCAGAACCTGTCGGTCCCCCCTGCGAGAATTTTTGAACGATCAAATGAAAATCACAGTTTTCACAATATTAACGAAATAATTGAAATTTTCAAAAAACCATAACGCACAAGATACAATAATAATAACAACAATCAGAGTTGGCTATTAACCCACTTGAAAAAGTAAAAATTTCGAATAGAATTGCCTCAAGCAATTATTATAAAATTCTCGAATAGTCTATATCTTATATAATCTCAATTACAATTATTATTACGTTTCGAATAATAAATTATCAATTTATTACTCAACTTCATCAAATTAATTAAATTTCTCACGAAAACGAAAAATCCAATCCAAATTTTGAAATGGAACCATTTTCCTCCTCGCCATCCATCTCACCCTGACCCTATCCCGTGCCTCGATAAATCAACGGCTCTGATTTGATCCCAAGATCGCGATCAATCGCGACAATAACATCATACGCGGCGCAAAACACGTTGGATCGTTATCGTGCGTTTGTTTCCCGCTGCGAGGCCCGGGCGGCCCGTGCACAGCTGTTCTTGTCAGCGTCCCGATGCGTCACGATAAATCGAGCGGAGCTCCTTTTTTCGTGAAAGGG